GGGGGTAGGAGGTCCAGTTTTTAGGGGGTCTCTCCCATGGAATAGAGTGGGAGGCAGTTTGAACTCTGCTCGCTTGTTTGCATGGAGTAAACTGCCCGAGCCCTTGTTGTGGGGGAGGGGCCTCCCGTCTGCTTGGTGGTGGATTTTGTACCTTTTGGTTGTAATTTCAGGGTCGCAGCTCGCCTCAGGAAGGTTGAAGTGCACTCTTCAATCTTCTCTCTTGTCTCTGCTCCAAACCATCAGCTACTTTGCTAAGGTTCTGTCCTTTCAGCCTCCTTCTGGACGGGAGCTTCTGTAAAAAGCTGGCTGCAGTTCGCCATCTTGGCTCCGCCCCCGATTTATTTTGTCTTGATTTAGAGTATTTTATATTCACTTTCAGAATAATTTTTTCACTAACAGGAGCAAAACCTATGAAAACAGCCAGAAAAAAAAATGATATTATTTGTTTGTCCTGGAACAAAGTCAAAGGAAACAGCAGTATTATTACTGAGTAGCATCCAGAGTAATGTATAGAAGCTCAGAAAAATTTAATACAATAGCAAAAGGACAGAGAGCAAAAGGTGTCATCCCCTACACCAGATAAAAGACTGAAATTTGGGTCTGATTTTCCTGAGATAAAGACTATTTTCTAGTTTACAGAACATATTTTGTTTTGCTAAAACACCATTTCCCTCAGATTGAGAATAAAACATCTCACTATCTCTCAGCCTATGTCCCTAAGGTTGCAGGATAGTACAATTTAGAGGGCCACATGCACCACTTAATTCACAGGACAGATTAAGGCATGGAATTCACTGTATACAGAAAGAGCAAATTAGGCTGGTAGTTCTTAAAAACTAGGTCAATTTTGCCTGGTATGGCTGTGACCTATGCACGAGGTAAATTATACTTTTTACTTCATGATCATTTCTGATCATTTCTAAGACAGAAATGTTATTTATAAAATGCACAAAAACCTTTGCATAACTCTGTGCTCTCAATCAGGCGATCAGAGATAGAAGGAACCTAAAGTAATGTTATGAGCCATTACTTTCACAGAGGGCTAGCCTGATCTGTCAGATTCGTCTGGGAAAGAGGGTGGTGGTTTGAAACCATAGTATATGTGTATCACAGTAGCCCCACGCTGGCACTAGTGTGAGTGTACCATGTTCTTCAGCCGTGCTGCAGTGGGGAGAGGTTGGAAACATCAGCATAACTTACTTGGATATTTCATTTGAAGATGTTTGTATAATTTGAGTATTATGGGAATATCCACTTCATTCATACGAAGATGTGAGTTGAGATAAATCTCAACACTGATTTTGTTTGCTGAGTGGAAGAGCCTCCATAAACCAAGATGGGGGCATTCTGCTTGCTACATTATTGGGTAGGATTTGTAGGGACTCGGTTCCTCTTTCACATTGCCTTGCAAACTGCATAGGCATCACAAGCCAACAGACTATTTCCCAGTTGTTTTCTGTGCCATCAGCCTGACCGGCCTATTGATGAGGTTCACAGTACTGCCTTCCATCTGACACACCACACCGGTACAAACTGCTGTCTTTTCCAGAGGCACAGATCTATTTCAAGGCAATGAGATGCTTTAGTACATGGATGATATCACTTTAATGATGTTACTTTATTTTTTGGTTTATACGATAACCACTGGGGCAGTTATTTTCTCCTAAAGGAGATGAAGAAAGAAGACCAAATACCAATTCCAAAAAGCAAAGTTGAAAATTTGACATTGGTTAGCAAACCTTGACAGGAAGCGTGTTTTAATTTTCAAATAGATTTAAATTTGACTCTTTAAACTGCCTAAAGCAATCAAGCCAGTATTAAATTTAAATTTAATTAAAGAGAACTAACTATTCATAAGACAACAGTATACTTTAAAAAGCTACCCTTAGAGATAGAGAAGTAAATTCTGAAGAAATTGCCAAAGCATCTCTAGGTAGAGTTTGGTTCCTCCTTCACAAATGTTTAATTTTCATCAAAAATTATTTAACCAAACCGGGTTGTACCTCCAGGGGAAACACTTCTTTCTAATTCGTTCTGAATTCTTAGTTTGGGGTCAAACTGGCAGGATGAAAAATGTCCTCAGGTGGTGGTTGGGACGCTCATCAGCATTCCGGGTCAGCTGCCTGGAGATAAAGAACTTTGCAGTCACCAGAAACAGGAGCGTGTTGCACATTAGGGCGTTCAGGTAATGCTGGGAGATACCAGCAAGTGCCAGTGATCAGGAAAGTAGGCCAGGACAGCAAGCAGTATCAATACCGCAAGAAAACCTGTGGAATCACCTGTGCTGAGGATTGGCGGTGGGGGGGCATTAGTTACAAAGCTAAGCCAGTAGCCTGGATCTGGAGCCAGCTGTCTCCGTGCACCACCCAACACTGTCCCTGTGCCTGACTCTGGACTTTAAGAGGAAGTGTGAGCATTTATTGTTCATCTTCATAGACCCAGAACCTAGCACATGCCTGGCAGGCTGTAGATGTTTCCTGGTTATTTGTTGATTCAGTGGAAGAACTTTTGCTAGGCAGCGAGCACAGCGAGCACCGGAGCAAGCCGTAGTAACCAACAGCTCCTTGGGGTAGAAAGCAGACTGACTTCCGTGGGACAGAGCTGCCGGGCCCACCCTTTCCTTACCACCGCCCTGCGCTGAGATGCTTTGCATCTGCACAACTGGGAGAGGCAGCGCCCTGAACAAACTGGAAAAACAGCCCTCCCCCGCTCCGGAGCCCAAGGCAGCGCACAGCCTGGGTAGCTCTGCCCGAGCCGCAGTTCGCCTGCCTGGCTCCTCCCCGCCCTCCCGCCGCCCGAGGTCTACGGCGCGCCCCGCCCGGTGGGTGGGGTGCCAGGCGGCCAGGCGGCCGCGGACTCTGCACCCGCAGGTGCGCGCGTCCTGCCTCCCAGCCCAGCCGCTCCTGCTCCTCCGCCGGCTCATGGAAGGGGCCAGCCCCGCGCCGGCGGGAGAGGAGCTGGAGCTCGTCTTGCTGGAGGGGCAGCCGGAGGAGGGGACGCCTCTCAATGGAACCGTCCAGGTCATCCCTGCGGGCGATGAGCCCTGCCCAGCCCAGGTAAGGTCCTCCAGTTTTGGGTTTCCAGCCAGGCCTGGGGCGGGGCGCACCGAGTAGCCGAGCGAGGGTGGCGCGTGCTGGAAAATTGTGGACCGAGGGGAGCGGAGCGGAGGGGATGGCTTTGGGTCTGACACCGCGCCCCTGCCCGCGCCCAAGCCCCATGGCCCCTCGGACCCCTTGGATCCCTGTGGCACTTCAGGAATTCTGGTGGTGAGGTGTGGCGGTTCCCCTCTTCAGAGAGAGAATCCCAGACATAGAGGTGGTGTTTAAATTATATCACTTTTAATTCAGTCTTTTCTTTTTCAAGTAGAGAGAAGGAGAATGTTAGAATGAGTCGCCTTTCCTTTAGAAACTCTTCTGTCCCCCTCTTACCTTCACTGTGTTGCCACTTCCGCTGCTTTTCTTTCCTCCCAGCCCCCACGGCCCACCATTCTCCTCCTCCCTTTCCCCCATCCAGGCTGACCATCCTCCAGACAAACCCTTTCCATCTTCTCCCAGCCTGGCCATTTGATTCTGCGGGAAGAGGGAGAGGGGAGAGGGGAGAGAGCAGCAAGAACAAGAGGGCTGCGGGTGGCTGGGGGTGGGATGTGTGGGCCCGCTCAGTTGAAGGGAAATACTTTCAAAGTTCTTGTCTCGAAGGACTATCTATGCCGCCACCTCTGCTTTGCCTCCTCTTACTCGCTAAGAAAAAGTCCCTGGTAGTGTTTAGGCTGAGCTCTTCTCTGATTGAACATTATTCACTCATACCAAATGCTTGTAAAACATCAAAGCTTTAAATTCCAGGTCATCTACCTTCTGATTAACCTCTAAGATTGACCTGAGGTTTACTGGGCACACAGAATTACCCATATATATAAGGTTGGAACTTTAGATATTGTATGTATAGATATATACACATACTATATCTAAAGTAACCCAACGGCCTCTTGGGACCATTGTGTCTCAAGACACAATATCTAAATATCTTCCTAGAACCCACTCCTGCACCCTCAACTTTTTGGCTGCCCAACTAACTTTTAGGGATAAGCAGTAAATTCAAATGTTGAAAGCATTGTTTTTGCTCTGCGTTGATATAAAGAAATATTATAAAGTCTAGAAACATTATGAAGCCTGTGTTTATAGGTACTCTGGAGAGTAATTTGGTACCTTGTCTTTGATGAAACATGAACACCACAGAAGAATGGAGTTTGAACAAAGATAGTCTGATGTCAAGGGCAAGTGGTAGTGACTGTGGACTTGCTGTGTGGATCCTTGAGAGAAACGTACAGGCATAGGAATTGAGAATACTCGCCTCACATTAGCTAGGTCCAAACCCAAAGACTCCATGGTTTGGGACTGAATCCAGAGATCTGGTCACAGCTTTGCATTAAAAAGTGTGTCCCAGGGGGGAGGCTGTCCATGGGGATAGTGTGATGTGCCTGACTGGGTTTCTCTGAGGCCTGGAAATACCTTCTTGAAAATGGTTGAAGCATAGAACCCAGAGAAACCCTGTCAAATCTATGTAGGGAATGAGGCTTTTATAATTGTTTAACACCTGTCCTGTCGAGATGGTTCTTTCATGTTGTAATGACTTCCTTGTTCGGTATACACAGATATCCTAGAATTCCTTGTACGTTAGCCTTGTAGGTCACCATGGAGGAAAGCTGTGGTCAGTGACAGGAGTGACAGTGAAGGGCTCCATGAGCACTGGGAGGGCATATTCAAAATGCTTGAACAGGGAAAGTTTCAAAAAGGAGAAGAAAACATCACCTAACATGTTAATCATTCTTTTGGAGTCTATAAAATAAGGTGAAGTATATTTCAATTTAAAAAGTTGATTAATGTATGGAAAACTCAAACTCTATAAAATAATTTAAAGAGGTTTATTCTGAGCCAAATGTGTGCACAATGGTCTCCAAAGGCTGGTAGGTTACAGTTTAGACATTCATGGAGACAGGAATTACAGGTAAAACCATAAATCAATATATAGAAGGCATACAGTAGGTTGGCTTGAAAAGTCGAGACTTCCTAAAGAAGGAGCTTTCAAGTCATGGGTGAGTTTTAGGGATTCTTTAGTTGACAGTTGGTTGAAAGAATTTAGCTTTGTCTAAAAACCTGGAATTGGTAGGAAGGAAGGCTTGAGCCAAGATGGGGATCTGCTAGAATGCTGGATTTACCGTAGGGAGTTTTCCATCTGTCCTGTGCTGCAATCTGTTTGGAAAATAAAGCACCTTATACGAGGTTAAGAAAAACTCGTTTAATGAGATTTTATTGTTTGTATTGTTTGCTCACTAGATCTTTTATAAAGGTATCTGGGCAAGAGAAAAAAGGCCAGAATTCAGTCCTCAGTAGGATCATTAAAAATATTGGCTAGTACAAACGCAAGATTCAAATGCTTAAGAATTTTGTGTGTACATCTCCTTAAACTGTGTGTGAAGATTTCCCATAGTATAAGTCCATGTGTTTTCATTAATCATATGTTTTATAACTGTCATGTAACAATACTTGTGATGCATAAATATGTTTGAGTATCATAAAAAACTTAAAAGGAACATGTCAGTATTCTGACTTGTCAGAGGAACTGAATAAAGAAACTGAGGCTCAGGAGTTATTAAAATTTTAGCTCAAGTTCATTCAGTGGTGCCTCTGAAGCTTAAACTCAGGGTTTTGAGGTCTCAAGCCTGTGTTGTTTCTGTTGATCTGTTTTATCTATCAACAGGTAATTTAAATACATCATATGATTTGTGTTCATTTATTTGTGGTTGCCTGAATTATAAATTATATATTACTAATTTCTATAAGTTAGGTAATATATAATTAGGTAGTTTAAGTGAAATAGAAGCTGAGTGTCCCATCTGGAATGATGAGGGAGTTGCAGGTGGATGGGTGGATAGATGAGTAGGAGGAACTGGGATCATTGGGAAGAATTCATGTGGGTGTTTTCCTATTTAGAAGAGTTGGGCCAGAGGAGTGAACAAAGGCAGTAGAAAGAACTGCTTTTCTTTTCTCGATCTGAGTCTGGGGATGGGAGAAAGGAATGTAAATCACTGAACTCTACTTTGCTTGTCATCACTATAAACAGGGCAATATCACTGGGTCAAAAGTGAAAAAAAAATTATGGATGATAATTTCTGGTTTTCTGAAATGGTTTTCTTTATGGCTTTGACCCAGTTTTCAAATAGAAGTCCTGGAGACATATAAAGTGATGGCAGCATCATTAAATAATAATATACCAGTAAATTGCTAGTCTTGAGGCAGGTGACACTTATTTGAATGGGCCAGCCCATTGCTATATTTTGTTCAATCTAGGACAAGAATCAACTGGCCCTTTGGTGCTTGGATCAAGCAATAGGTGGGTTAAATCTCACAGTGAAGGTTAGAAAGAACAGATTTATCTGTGTGCTAGGAAAATTTTCCCTGATCTGAATATCTGTTCCTGATTGAGCTAAAGAGAAGAAAAGCTTTTTTGGATCCAAGAGACAGAAAGTCCTATCAATCTCGGAAGCTAAGCAGGGTTTGCCCTGGTTAGTACTTAGATGGGAGATCATCTTGCCATTGTTACAGGATCCTGTGTGATATATTTAGATTTTTATCAGAAGAGAGATGTGAACATCTGGGGGAATGTTCAGAGGAAAGCAGTGACGATTCTTGAGCCATGTAATGCAATCATAGGATGTTCGATTTCCAAATATCTCTGGAAGGCACCTTGAGAAGGACCTGTCTGTAGCCTCCCCACATGACCTAGAATTGGGGCAAGAGAGAATGAAGAAGCCAGTGAAGGAGGCAGTTTGCCCTCATGGTCCGGGGTTGAGCGGAAGCTGGGATAGCTCAGGTAGCGCACACTTACTGTAGGAGATTCTTCACCATCAGGTCATTGGGGGTCTCTTGGGGGCACCTCTGAATGGTACTAATTTCTCATTTGATTCTAATGTGAAAACAGCTGAGAAGTACTCCACACACTATTCAGTTAGGAGTGGCTGAAAGAACATTTTATTATAACTTAAAATCTATGAAGAACTATTATTCAAAGGATAGTGGTCAGCAGCCTTCTCTGAGGGCTGAGAACAGGTCAGTGAAGGGCACCGGTCTGTAGGATGGCAGCTTTGGGCTGGATGGGAGAGGCATGGAGATGAGGGCCCGTGTAATTCTGAGCTGAGTTCCTCCAGGAAGTCACAGAGTAATTAGGGCTCTTTTGAACCCCTAGAATTCTAATTTATGATTTCAAAGAAACAGCATGAGTGAGAATAAGAGGCCAAAGAGGTGCACTGCCAATCATTCTGTGGCTCATTTGAGACTCCAGACCATTTCCTTTTATGCTAATCTTTATGGTCCCTGCTGCCTTTTGTATAAGGGTTGAAAACAGCAAGGTGTCTTTTGATCCGTGTGAGTGGGGGATTATGTCTCTGTCCCTGAGAAGTTAAAGGTTCTTGTGTCTGGACTTCTCTTTCCCATGTGTATTATTGAGCCCTTGGCATTGGTGACTTTGGAGCAGTAGTACAGTCTTTGCACAGGGTCACAAGGTGGCCCTACACCTGTACTGCCAACTCTCAGGGCCTTCACTGCTCCCTTCAAACCTGTGGCGGCAGGCTGGGCCATTGTACAGTACATTTAGGAGCTCCAGTGTTGGGCCCTTCAGCCAGGATTTCTTGGAGTACATTCTTAAAATGTTGGGGGACTTCTACAACTAAGCAGAACACATTAAATGTCTATTACCTGCAGGAGGAAAAAGTGTGGAATATAAGAACAAGGAAATTTAAGAACCACCCCTCCCTATATGTGGTTTCAATTTACCTGGGAAGATAAGGCCAGTCTCTGTTTGTATTTGAACATGAAACCAGGAAGGGCAGTCAGCAGCAACAGCAGCAGATGAGCTGAGCGATGTGGACAGCCAGTGAACTGGGAGATCTCACTGAGCGTGGGGGAGAGGGGCTTCCACAAAAGGGGGAATTTGACCTGGCTCCTGTAATGTGTGAGGCTTCAGACTAGAAGTCTTAACCCTGGTAAGCTATTGGTTCACTTCATGGGGTTGAAATGAGAAGCCAGGGTTTGTGCCCACCTCCCCTGTCTGTGATGTGGTCCACAAGGTACAGGTGGGGCCTCAGTATGCGTCAGTTCAAATCCTCCCCAAGTGCTCCTCACGTGCAGATAGGCACGTAGCTCAAATGTGGACTAAGAGTTTCCTTTCTGATGGCCACCAGCAAAATAAGAACGGGTGAGAAAGTGACCAAAGTGACAGTTCAGGCATGTCTCCTCAAGGGCCTGCAGCAGCTTTGTGGACCTGTAATGGCTGAGGAATGATTGCTCCCCTGAGTTGAGCCCCTGTTCTTTGTTTACAAGATGTTTTGTGTCCATCATGTCTAGTTTTTGCAACAGCCCTGAGAGCTAGATTTAGTGTTTATATATTTGAAAAGTGAGGGCCCTGGAGCCTGTGAGTCTTGCATAAAGTCACCCTGCCTTTAAGTGGTATATAACTCAGCTTGGAATCCAGGTATGCCAGATACAAAGACACCTGTCCCCCCGCCAACATATTCCCTCATTTCCCATGGTCTCCATGTATATAATTCCTATGTGGAGGGAAGTAGAATTAGAGTGCCAGGACTGTTAGGGGCAGGTGCAAGCACTGAGCATGGGGCTCCTCCCGGCACACTCATAAATGGGAGCTCCACACAGTGCTGCCAGGAGGCTGTGGACAAATTCAGGGAGAGTTCCAGAGTTTTGTAGTGACGCACAGCAGAGATTAGTCCTGGCTAATCTCCCCTCCGAGCTGTGTCTTTGAAATGGGCTAATGCATACGTTCAAGGGTTGTTGGGATTAAGTGAAATGATGTTGGTGCTCAATAAACCACAGCAGTTGTAATTATTTTTTTCAATCCCTCTCTCCGCCTCACTGCACCCTTTGCAGTGTATTTATTTCCTACTGTCTCTTGCATCTGTTCCTTCATTTCCGTTCTCAGGCCTTATTACACAGAACTGGGCCATAGCCATAACCTTGTAGCTTTTTCTTGGTGTGTCCAATCCAAATTACACATAATTTTCCTCATAATTTTCAACTCTTCTTTTATGTTCCAAAACCTTCAGCAGGTCATAAGTGTGCACCGAATTAAGTCCAAACTATTCTGGAGCAATCTAAAGCCTCTCAAGTGTGCTCCAACCCTTTTCCTTCTCTAATCTTAACTTTCCTTACTTGCCTGTGACATCCACATTATGATCATTAGGCTAGTCTGTTGGCCAGTTTATTATGAATCAACACCATGATGCTCTTTCCTGGGTTTGGAAGGTCTTCTACAATCCGTCTTTCAAAATCCCACTATCCTTCCCAACTCAGAGCCCCCAGATTCCATTCTGTCCCCCTGTATCTTTTTGTAAACTTAATGCAGTAGGGTGTAGCCCCCTGAGGTCAGGATCCTGTGGCCTTTGTGTCTGTCTTGTTGGCCTCTAATACGTATCTAGAAATGTCTGTTGAACCCAGATGACTGCCTCACAATCTTCCTCTGCTTCTAGGCTAACAAGGAAAGCCCCTGGAGCTCCTGTAATAAGATCGTGTTTGGAAAGTGTAAACTGTGGATGGTCATCACCTCCATTTTTCTAGTTCTTATTATAGAGATCATCATAGGTTTATGTCTCAGTGGAGGTAAGAAGACTTAAATGGGACTAAGTTGACAAATACTAAGAACTTGCTTAAAGGTTTGACTTGAGGTGGAAGATACATTCATTGCTATTTCATTATTTGGAACATTCATTTAAAACTGGCTTGGAATATGTTGTGCGGGGTGGAGGGTGGGGAAGATATACGTGATTCTCTTTTCTTGTTATATTCTGTTTGTTTTTTGTTTCATAAGATCCAGAAGAAGTATGGAGAGTACTATTTTACTTCATGACTTACTCATTGGATCTTGAAGAGCTTTTTAAATGTTTAACTTACTTAAACACTAATTTCTATTTTATTACATCTCAATGTTTACTTATTTGAGATTCATTTTCTTCTCTGTTTAGTAAAAACAATTATTGTACTTCATCTAGGATAATACCTGGTATGTTGTCTTAATCAGTAAAGAATGTGCAAGAGTTTAAAAAAGAACTGCATAGAAGCATTTACCTATAAGCTGCCATTACTTCAACTTTAGCAATAACTGTGTTACATTTGTGTTTGGTGGTGTATAAAAAAACTTACATGACACTAACTACATACTATCTATTTTATGAATATTATCCCATTTTGTTGTTTATTTTTAATTTAAAAAAATATATGTTCAGTTATACACAAAACCTTCCGTAATATAAATCTGTTATATTTTCTTCTAGCTTTTTTCCTATATTTTTAAAATAATTCGAGATCAGACTTTTTATAGTCTGTGGCCTACCTAAACATCTTTAATGTTATATTGCTATTATTTTGCCAAGAATTAAAAATTCTTTGTGAATATCATCGTTTCTAATGATTGTATGATGTAGCCTTCTACATCATTTTAATGCCTTTTAGGTAGATAGCAATTTTTTAATGATTATCAGTACTTTTAAAGTTTCTAAAATGGATGAACACAGCACCTTCCAGTGAGCAATCATTTCAGTTTCAAAATAGAAAGCTTACATTTGTTTTTATTTCTATTCGGGGGTATTGGTAGAGAGTTTCTTTGGAGCGAGGCTACTCCTGAGCTCTGTATAGCCTCCGTGGTGAGGATTTGGGTTGAATCAGGCTGTCGGGGACCAAGTCAGTCACAGAATGAGAGTCAGGAGGGGGAATCTCCTGAGTGTCTCCTCAGGAAATCTTAGGAATTTTCCTCAAGAAGTACATGTTCCATTCACCTCCTATCTCTCCTTCTCCCAGTGCCTTAATCTCTCTGTTAGGTGTTCATAGTCCCTGAGGCTAGGAAAACTGGGATGGCATCAACTAACCTCTAGCTTGTGAGTTTCTCTGTGGGTTGAGGGACCCTAGTTTTGGTGTCAGCAGTGACTCTTCCTCTTCTCATCAACTCCAGCATGTGGATGTTGAAACTGAGGTTGAGGTTCATGCTCTGGGTGGTTGGGGCTCTCCTGAAAGTTGACTGATTTGTTTGTGGCGTCCAGGGCCTGTCACAAAGGATGATGCAACAGACTTAGATGGTTTAATATTCAGGATCTGTCTTTCATTCTTAAACCTTCATCTGACCTTTTCAACTCATAAAGAGCCCTCTACAGAGGAAGGCATTCCATTTCTATCAACAGGTTTTGTGGACACGTGGGGGCTACAGGATAATATTCAGGGAAGCATTTTTTTAACACTAGTGCAAACTTCATTTTTAATGTGATTGTAAAT